TCGTACAATGTTCATCACAATATTAAAGAAATTAGATCTTTAACATCTAAAATTAAAGTTTTATTCCCACACTTATTATTTCAAAATTATTTTTAAACTTGATAATTTTCATTATGTATTAAAATCTCCCTTTATATAAAATATAATTTTTATGTGAAAAATTTGTTAAGAGACTTTTTTTATATTGTATCACATGTCTTATGCTCTTATAAGAGTCGTAATTCATTGTTTTTTAACATAATACACATTTTTTATTTTTGCAACAATCTAAATACTCTTCTCCAAAGTCGGTGGAAGCGATAAAGGGACTTAGATTTGCATATCTTTTGGAACAACCCATTTACGTATCAATTAAGTCACTACTCAATTGATTGCTAAGAGACTTTTAACTCAAATATTATTATTATCTTTTTACTATTAATGATAAAAAACTTTATTAATGTAAATAAAACAATAATTATACAATAGATTGCTTAAATTTCTTATTAAACTTGTTATAACTAACATTTAAAACAATCAAAATTATTTTACAGTTAACATTTCTTATAGGTACAATAATCCATATATTTTGTTAACTATTGTTGTGTTGACTAATATCTCTTTACATTTATATTTTATCTATATTATAATCAATAATAAGACTTATGAATTTCATTACAAAGCTGAATTGAAAGAAAATAAAAAATAATGCATGAAAATTAGTAAAGCAAATAACATTAATTTTATTGGTCCCAAATTGTCACGGGGTAGGTTTGTAGCGAAAGAAACCCATGCAACATCCAGGTTATGTACGACTATGATAAGTTTGATGTGTGTGTGTAAAATCCATGTGTCAGCCTGATGATGGCTCCACTAAGGTTAGTGGCATTGGATCATGACCTCGCGATACATGGTCAAGGCTCTTTATAGCTCTTGCCAATCCATAGGAGACACCTCTTATGTGCCAAAAAGAGAATGCCATGATGTAAGATGCAACCACTATGATGATGATATGAGGCACTTGTTGTGCCAATGAAAAGAGGCAATTGTTGTGTTGATGATGTATGTAGGCAATTGTTGGGCCATAAACACACCCGTGTGCTTGCTGTGAAAATGAAGTAGCTCGATTAGCTTAGGCATGAAAATAGCGAGGTGTAGGGACATGCTTGGGCCTGACCCACATGGAAAGTCTCCCCTTTATATGTGATGCATAGTGTCGGTCTATGAACTATTCCCATGAATGTGTGTGTGTGTGCCCATGATGAACCCTAGTAGTCATGTTTGTCATTAATTAGGATTGCCCCGCAAGGGATGTTGGTTTATGGAATGCTAAGATCAAGCACCCAAGGAGGTCAACCACCTTATCAAAGAGTACGTTAAGCTTTTGGAAGTCTACTAATAGGAAATACCACTTTTTCGAAAAATCATACTGGTGATGTTTACAATAGTGCCACTCAACATAAGCCCACCAGCGTAGATAAGGCTAAGCTTGTGTCAGACCATGACAGGCTCCCCTGTTGTCCTCCTGACAACGGCTCCTTTGTGAATGGGCATCTGTGTCCCACACCATCCATGTGTGCTTCAGTTTAGCTACTCGCTATTGTAGTTAGGGCCACCTAGTTAGTCCGAGTCTCACCTATGTTGAGATTTATATAAGGGGACAAAACCTACACTTCACCCATTGTGTTCAGGTTACTTAAATCGTGCAATGGCTATGCCCTCAATTTGTGTGTATATGGCTCTTAAAGATGTTATGTGTGTGTGGTTCGTAGAGGCCCGTCTTGTATTATCTTTACCTCGATTGTCTTCTTGATAGCTTTTCGGTGGTGTCATTGAACACGATGTGATAGGTCTTCTCCTATTGTTGGCATAGTATCCTGGGAAACCCTTTCACCATGTTGGCCTGCAGACTTTACCTCACCGTGTTCGAGTTACTCCAACTTATCCATGGATTATGCTATTTTGGCCCTAGAAACTACACTTTACCTCGTTGTGTTCGGGATACCTCTTCGCTACAAGGGCCCCCGATGTTGCTTGCCTCAAAGATCTTACCACAATGTGTACGAGTGGTGGCAACTTTTACCTATGATGTTGCCAAACATGCACTCACTTATGTGATGTATTGATGTTGTTGTGAATGTTCAGCCTTGTGTTGTGTTGAGCATGTCCTCTGATGCAATGTGTCATGTCGCCATGCTCCAACAACAAGTGTACCTACATTCCTAACATTCCAAATATTATGCCTTCAACCGATAACCCATTTTGTACTAATGTCATCACTTTAGTGACATTCCTTGACCAACCGCTGACACCAACCAATTTCGGACTATCGTCCCCAACTTAATAGTGCCTTAGACAAGCTATGGAACAATGACCCATCTGTCATGAGACCAAGATATAGGCGCACCACCCACACCTCACCAAAATGAACAACGACTAATGTCCGTGAGGAAGCAAGGCACTCCCTAACTCAAACCACCACAATATGCCTTCTAAGAAATGACCCATGCGTTTGCCCCTACACGAGCGTTGCTTCGGATTCATTGGAATGGGGACACGATGTTTGGCCTCTTGCCAGACTTAATGCTTGTTGCTTACTTGAAACCTGTTGAGTGGGTATGCCAAGGGACCACACCCTACAATGTGCTTCTTGTCGTGATGACGAATCCAGGCTGGCTCAACTGTGTGCTCTGATACCAACTACGACAATAGTTGGCTAATGCTCTGATACCAATTGTCATAGGGGTAGGTTTGCAGCAAAAGAAACCCGTGCAGCGTCCAGGCCATGTGTGGCCAAGACAAGCCTGATGTATGTGTAAGAGCCATGTGCGTCTAGGCTATGTGCGGCCAGTGGCACTGGATCATGACCTTGCGGTGCATGGCAAAGGCTCTCTATGGCTCTCACCGGATCATAGGAAGTGTGGTAGCTCGATTAGCTTAGGCATGAGGCTAGCAAGGTGTAGGGACATGTTTGAGTTAAGACCCACATTGTCTCCATGAGCATGTGTGTACCCATGATGGACCCTGGTAGCCATGCTTACTATTAACGAAGGCCACCCTACAAGGGATGTTGGTTTATGGAGTGCCAAGGTCAGGCACCCAAGGAGGTCAACCACTCTTCCTTAAAAAATGGGCGGGCCAAGCTGGGCTAATCCATGTTTAAAAAAAAATTAAAAAAATAATGAAAAATTTAACATAAATTAAAATAAATAGAAAAAATAAAAAAGATCTTAAAATTTTATTTTATATGAATTTTGATGTGTACAATTGTTTATATATGCAATAATAAAATGAAATAATATAATAAAGTTGAAAAATTAAATTATATATATATATTAATATATTATATAATTATTGTATATAATATACGGCCCGAGCCCGCGCAGGCCAAGTCTTAGGCTGGGCCACGAACCGGGCTAAGCCATGTTTTTTAAAAATTAAGAAAAATGAAAATTTTAACATAAATTAAAAAATAGACAAAAAATTAAAAAAGATCTTAAAATTTTATTTTAGCCTGAACCGGCACGAGCCCGTCTTAGGCTAGGCCAAGCCACAGACTAGGCTAAGCCTGTTCATGGGCTTGGTAGCCCAATAATTTAGCCCGGCCCATTAACGATGCTAAATTAATTAATTAAATAATTTGATATAGCCTTTACAAATCTTATGTTGATAATACATAAAGTTTTATTTATTTACTTATTTTACTAAATTATTTAATTATTTAATAATTTAATAATCTAACAAATTATTATTGCTATCAAAGTAAGACAATCATGTATATATTTATATATATTTACTCTCTCACTTGATTGTCTATTTATCTTATTTATTTTACTAAATTTATTTATTTATTAAATTAAATTAATTATTATTTAACTATTTACAACTATTCCACTATATAAAACAAAAGTACAATGGCAAAAGTCATCTCTCCCTCTTTCACTGTGTGTTGCCTCATGGTTATTTTTTTTTGTTTATTTTATTAAATTAAATATATTATTATCCATAAATTTTTATTTATTTTAAATAGATACTTTTTCTAATAAACTTTTAATTAAAAAATTTATCTTTCACAATTTTTTCTTATATAATAATTTACCTTCAACAAACCACTCATCATGTTTTGCCCTTGCAACGCAGGGCCCCTTTGCTAGTATGATAATACTTCGTTATGTAATTTTGTCAAAAAATTACTTTGATACCCATGGCATCTTATCATTTTATTTTCATTGTAAAATGAATAATATGATGAAAATGAAAATAACTTAGTATGCATGGGTATGTACTTGAGATAAAAACAAGAAATGGCCAAATTTGTCTTTTTTTAAAAAAAATAAATGTATTAACTATCGAATCATACCTTGAAACAATAGATCTAATACGATACAATATGGACATTATTCATTATCCAACACATAAGAGACGAATGTTCCCTTATTTTTGAAAAACATATTCTAATCAGAAAAATATTTTAAATATTTTATGATTACAACTTAATTGTATATATTTACTAATATTTAAATAATGTTTCATAAAATTTAATTATTAATAAAATAAAATGAAATACTAATAAATACTATAAAAATAATTATATTAAATATTAATATAATTAATTCAAATTATTAAATTATTTTTATAATAATTATTAAAATAAAGATTAATTATTTCGCTAATCACCGTGTTAATCTGAAAAGGGAGAATGACCAATCAGCCTAGATCAGGATTTTATAGCCCTATAATACAGGGGATGCATGACCGTGAATTGATGCCAAATTTACGGGCAAGATACGGTTTATAGGGGGAGATGGCTAATGGAATCAGAATTCTGCATCGGATGTATCCGTAACGGAGTCGCTGTCGACTGGCATTTTCTTGCGTATTTCAGCAATAATATCGATTTGTGGTTGCATATGCACAATGCAACGTACTAAAGACGCGACGGGCCCACGGAGATCTTGTCTGTAGCATGCTGCACATAAGGCGAGCATTTTTATTGTGTTTCCCTTTTACTCATGCTTCTCAACTTCTGTCCTTTCCTTTTCCCACAATTTCTCAATTGGGAAAAGACTAGAGAGAGGCCGAGAGGAATGAAAATGCGCACAGAAGGGTGAAAATTGGGTGGAAGGTCTAGCTGTAGCGATGAACAACAGCGTAAAGCATGATCGAGAGCCCCAGCCTCAGCCTCAGCCACCTCAGCAACAGCCGCAGCCCCAGCGTAGGCCCCGTGGCTTCGCCGCGACGGCAGCCGCTGCGGCGGCATTGGGCGTCGCCAGCGGTGGCAAAGGGAAGAAGGAGAAGTAGCGCACCAAATTGAGGGAACGCCACCGCCGTGCCATCACCAGCCGCATGCTCGCTGGTCTCCGACAGTACGGCAATTTTACCCTCCCTGCTCGTGCTGACATGAACGACGTCCTCGCTGCGCTTGCCCGTGAAGCTGGTTGGACTGTAGAGGCCGACGGCACCACCTACCGCACTTCTCCACCTCCCTCACAAGCGGTTCTTTCATTATTTCTTTATCTCGTTTAATTTATGGTCCTTTAGTTTTCTTTTCGATTGATTCTGAGTTGAATCTCTCTCTCTCTCTCTCTCCCTCTGACATTATGCCTATGGAAACCCGGAAATTGCTTACATTAAATGGACATTTTATTTACTATAATAGGAATCGCTTCTTCTTTAGTATGATGAGTACACTTAATTGGTCACCAGAAAAAAAAGAGTACATTTTAATTAAGAGTAATATGGAGCTTATTTCAATGGAATTGGGGAAAACTCCAACATGTGCACTTCCTAAGTAAGGCTTTTCTTTCTTTCTGAATTTTCGAGATTGTGTGAAAAGTTAGAGCATCCTGTTGGTTGTGGGCTACTTGTGATTCTATTTTGAAGTGTAAGCATAATTTCTACACCTAGAGTCATGTTTGATTTCTGTTGTTCATCATAAGAAAGTGAAGGTAGAAAGGACCATGATTATTTCCCTAGTGCATTAGAAGTCCTGCAATATTGCCTATTGAATAGGTGAACGAGATGGAAGAACAAAAAGTGTTGTGGTCTTGTGGAGTGTAAGATTAAATGAGGGTTGTCTACTGGGAAATAAGAACGAAAAAGGTAGGTGGGACAGGCTAAGAGCATCTGTTTTGTTCTTGCAGATGGAGAGCGCTCTAGTTGAAAACGTGTATCATATGTATGGACACAGATGTACTGGTTTTGAAAGTCTAGCTGGAATTACTAATAAAAAAAATCTAGCTGAAATCTACAATACCAAAGATAAGTTACATGAAGCCAGCTGCAAGGTTCTAGTTGTTTGTTCATATTGAAATTTGAAAGAAACAAGATCATACTAATGGGTACATTTTATAAGGTGATATTTCATTGCATAGTTTTCAAGGTGCCAAGGTGAGGCTAGGCGACAGAGGGGCGCCTTGTCGCCTAGTCGCCTAGGCGATGGATTTTTTTTTGTTGAAAACATAGATCCTAGGGTAGTTCCCTAGGTACCGTAACCATATTTCCTTAATAATTATTCATAATAAAAGTATAAAGTTCATATTAAAGTATAGAAAATCAACATATTCATGAGAAGAAAGAGAAGAAGGAAAATAAAATTCAAAAAATATAGGGGATGAACCCTTATTTTTGTTATAGGAAAAGAAGAAAAGAAAAAGTAATGGTAGTAGTAGTATATAAACACACAATAAAAAGAAATTAGTATATAAACACACAATAAAAAGAAATTAGTATATAAACACACAAAATGATTATTTTAGTTTAATAATGTCTATTTTATAATTATAATCTCAAAAAAGAATGAACAAAAAAGTAATTTATAGTAGGAAGTATAAAACTGCTTGGCGATTAGGCGAGGTGAGCCTCAAAGGGCGCCTGCCTAGGCGTCGCCTTGACAACTATGTTTCATAGTTATAGATCATTGTATTAAAAGTTCTTACCGAGCACTATCTGTTCCTTGAATCTTGATCCATAGGATTTTAGATGTTTAATGGGGATTGTGTGTATTGCGAATATGGTGGTTCATGTAAATTAGTACTGCAATGGATAAGTGGTGGGGGAAGTTGCCTAATGGCTTTGGTACAACCCTAGATAGTCAGATTCATATTAGAGTGTTGATATCTAATCTTCTAATTACAAGAAACTCATGAGTATCTTCCATTATAAGTCATTAGGCCTAGCTGGTATTTCTCCATTTTCTACATGGCCATTGTTTCTCTCTGCAAATTTAGAATATAGGTTGCTTTATCATTGGTAATTCTTATTAATCCATGATTTTTTTGATAAGTATTCTTATTGATCCACATTCAGTCCTGCAGTTCCACCTCTATGATTCTTCCTAAGTCTTTACTCACTACTAGCACTCAATATGCTTTCTAATTTGTGCTGATAAAAAAAACTTTCTAACTCATGTTGAGTTACTTTCATCATCAATGTTATTCTGAACCATGGCTATGCATGAACGTAGAAGAAACATTTAAACTAGAAGATTCCATTAGGTGGGAGTGGTGCAAGCTCTATTAAGAGGATTTGAAGCTGTGTTAGGGTTTATGTACTGATCAGAAGAGTGTGGTGATAAGGACAAAGAATAATGATCTAATTAAATTTGTATGGGAAGGCTTGGATGAACTATGGTTTATTTGCCACTCATAAAAAAAAAATACTATGGCTTATTTGCCTATCTTGGCCTACCTTTCGGGTAAGGTTCTAGAATGACACATTTGCCGTCTGGTCCGTGCAGGTTGGAATAAAAGTTCTCTCTCATTAGAAGGAACAACAACACTAATCAAAAGTGTAACTATCCAGCTTACCGAGCTATCATATGTTGATACTTAATCTTGCACATGAAGAAAAAAGAAAATGGAAAAAGATTCTGTGGGACTTCTTCTTGATGCATGTAGAGAGAATAAGAGGTTTCACCTAGACAAATGGTGATGAGTATGTTGGGCAAGGAGTGTAGGAGTGGGATTCTCAACAATATGGGAAATGACCAAAGCATTGTTAAGTAAAAGGTTATGGAGTTTGAGTGGGACTGCAGGAACAAGAGACAATTTGGAGGAAGTTAATGCTAGATGAATATGGGGTGGGATTTTATAGGGCCTTTACACCATATGGTGTGTGATTATGGAGGGAGATATTGAAAGATTGATGATTATATATCTAGCTTTAAATTTCGATTAGGGAATGGGGAGCCTGCCCAGATCTGCTGAAAGCAAAAAGTGTGTGAACATGCCGAGAGCATATAGCATGCAGCCACACATCGGCAACATCTTCCATACTTGTATGTTAAATCCATGTGGAGATGTTCCCGATATGTGGCTTGATGCCGTGTCCTCAGTGCGTTTGCACGCTTTTTGCCTTCAGCAGATCCCATCTTGGGAATGAAGAGTCTTGCTCTGATGAGATTCTTGGGAGAAACTTTACCTAGCAAAGGAGGACCGACCTGTGTGTCTGGGAGGAACATTAGGGGGAATTTCATGATGAAGTCTTTCTGTGACAAGCTAGTTAGGTGCAGGTTGCTTCTCATGGAGGCATTGATTAAATCTGGGGATTTTCTATACCATCAAGGGTGGTGACTCCTTTTTGGTTAATGATGCTTGGGAAGATAAACGATTCTTACAGTGGATAA